GGAAACTGGACAAGGGGATGGATATTAATCAATTGAGAATGTCCATTTTCTGAGATATCATTTATCCTTTCTTCTTTCCTTCCTTACACTTTTCCTCATTTCATCCATTCGTTCATTCAGCTAATATTTATTGTTAATCAGCTATGTAACAATGATAAGCACCAAGGACAGCGATAGGAAATTGAGACAGCCAAGTGGGAAGGGGTCCCCAAGGAAACTGCAGCTGGCCAGTGCCCTGTGGTGGAGCCACAGAAGTCCACACCTTTTGCGGGGAGGAGCCTGGCCCTTCCTCTTCCTGGGTGAACCTGGAATTTAATCTGCGATGTGGGAAGTGTACTAGCAGGACTCTGGCTTTGCAAGAGTCCTTATTTCCTTTTTTTTCCTCTTTGTCCAATAAATCCCATTTTTCTCACCCTTTAAATTGTCTGTGGGCCTAATTCTGAACTAAGAAAACGTCCTACAACAAAATCAACCTGTAATCTAGTTTGCAGAAAGAAACAATAACAAAAAAAAAAAAAAGAAAAAGAAAAAGAAAATCATTGGGTACCCCACTTAGAAAGGATTATGTTAGAGGTAAGCTAAAGAAGAGGTACACAATGCAGCTAACAGCATGGGAAAAGATGACAATATTTCCTAGAGAAAGGGACATTGGATCTGAAATTTGAAAGATGAGTAAAAATTATAATATGAAGAGGCGTGATTGAGAGGAAGTCTCTCCAGGCCGAAGTAGCAGCACATGCCAAGATCAAAGTGAAAAACAGCATGATGCATTGAGAGGAGTCTGAACTGTGATGAATGTGCGTATGTGTGTGTGTGTGTGTGTGCACACTGGCTTGCTATGCATGGCCATGAACTTATTAGTAAAACACTAATATGTAGTGGAAAGGATTAGCTAATATCCAAATAAAATGCTGTATCTCTATATCTGTATGTATCACCAATATTTCATCAGACATTAAGAAGATCCTCCAGTAAGAAAAAATCAAACTAGACATATAGTAATACTACTTATATAAAAAACAAGTATTGTGCTTCACTTACAAATAACCATTCACAAATGCAAAATTCAAATTTCCAAATTTGATGCTGCAGGTTCCCAGACTAAAAATAGAGTAAAAAATAAATATCTCTGAGGGTCATTCTCTTGTTTAAATTCTAATATAATAATTTATGTAATTCCTTATCATCTTATCTGTAAAACAGGACCTTACTGTCTTATAACTATGACAAATGGAAATGAGAGGAAAAATGAGAATACTATGCTGATAATGTCTCTGTCTAGTTTGCTGAAGAGCAGTGAGTCATACTCTGTATTTGTGTGTATCTGTGTATAATACTTCTCTCTGGGACTAAGGCATTCATACATACATATATATATGTATGTATGAATATGTATATACATATATATATGTATACACACACATATATACATATATATGTATGAATGCCTTAGTCCCAGAGGGAAGTACTTTATCTATCTATCTATCTATCTATCTATCTATCTATCTATATCTATATATAGAGAGAGTCATATCACTAATGGAATACTTATTAAGAATACTTAAATAGACTATTCTAGGTTAGAACCAATGCAGAACTAGTCTTACAATACACATTTCATCGTCTCGCCCCAGAAAAAATCAAGACATCCATGATTATGAAGATTTATTTTTACTATATTTAATATAAAAAATAATAGCACCCATCTCAAAGGGCCATTGTGCATGGTACATGCATTTTTAAAAATGTCTGATAAAGCACCTAACACATAAGTGCATGTTCACAATGCTTTTTATACATACATTTGTTGTATTACATGTAGCTAATTACTATCGTTGTTATTACCATAGAATAAGCTATCCTCTTATGTGCTGATCATTGGCTGCATATATCCCTTGGAGGGACTCTGAAAGAACATATTTAATAGACATTCCTTATGTGAAAGTTCTTTGTTCAGTACATGGAGTTTCACTTGATGCATTTATTTTTTACAATTCTCAGAGAGCTTGTACTATATCAACAGGAAAGAAACAAGTGCTTTTTCTCTAGTCTCAAGCAAATCTATCTGCTATAGTCATTCAAAAACACATGTGAATTTATATGTCATACTGATACACTGTTCGATTCTAAGTGGTAAGTGTGAACAAAATAGTCACTGTTTCTAGTCTCTAGACCAAGTGTCAGATGGAGACAACTGTAAATAAGAGAAACAGAGTTAGAAGAATGTAAGTGTAAGTAGAATAGGGGCATATTTGAAGGCAACATAAGACAGACATGAGTAACTTGGGAAGTCTTAGATATTTATTAGTATTAAATCTTACCCCAGAACTTTGCTTTTTTTTTCTAAACAGACTTTTGCTTTGTCACCCAGGTTGGAGTGCAGTGGCACAATCTTGGCAACGCTTTTTTCCCAAGTTCGACGGATTCTCATACCTCAGCCTCTTGAGTAGCTTGGATTACAGGTGTGCACCACCATACCTGGCTAATTTTTTTCTATTCTCAGTAGAGACACGGTTTCACTGTGTTGGCCAGGTTGGTCTCGAACTCCTGGCCTCAAGTGATACATCTGCCTCGGCCTCCCAAAGTGCTGGGATTATAGGTAAGAGCCACTGTGCCAAGCCTACATCTTAAAACAAAAAGAGAAACCTCTTTTGATTATATGCACATTCAAAGCTATAGACCATAGCTCTGTTTCTCTTCAAAGCAAAATCTTCTAAAATAGCTTTATGTAGTTTCTTTATCTACTTATCCATCTCTAAAATTTTTCCTCTTTCCATTCTTTCTTCTTCACATGATTCCAGGAAAACTTCTCAAGTTAAAGGCACTAATAGCTTCTGGATAGTCAACCACATCACTAACTCAAATTCTCAATAATGTTCATTATTTTATGATGATTAATATTGAATGTCAACTTGATTAGATTGAAGGATACAAAACATTTTTCATGGATGTGTCTGTGAGGGTGTCGCCAAAGGAGATTAACATTTGAGTCAGTGAACTGGGAGAGGGAGACCCACCCTCAATCTGGGTGGCACCATCTAATCAGCTGCCAGCGCAGCCAGGATAAAGGCAGGCAGGGGAACGTGGAAAGACTAGGTTGGCTGAGTCTTCTGGTCTCCATCTTTCTTCCATGCTGTATGCTTCCTGCCCTCGAAAGCTTCTGGACTTCTGGACTTACACCAGTGGTTTGCCAGGGGCTCTTGGGTCTTGGTCACAGACTGAAGGCTGCACTGGTGACTTCCCTACTTTGGGGTTTTGGTACTTGGACTGGCTTCCTTGCTTCTCAGCTTGCAGAAGGCCTATTGTGGGACTTCACCTTGTGATGGTGTGAGTCAGTACTCCCTAATAAACTCCCTTTCTTTCATATGCATCTATCCGATTAGTCTCCTGTTGCTCTAGAGAACCCTAATACTATATATATATAATACGCACACACACACACACACACAGATACATACATATAGACACACACATGTATGTGTGTGTCTACATGTACTTATGTATATAATAGAAATATATGCATATACTTAGATTGAGAACTTAGCTCCAGGTTTGCATATGCAAGCTTATTTCTATCCACATCAAAGTATAAAAAAAAATACCCTCATTAAATTAAAAAAAATCGAAACTCACACTATGGCAAACACTGATATGGAGGTCAGGAGCTAAAGTAATCACCAAGGTAGAAAATTACCCTAACTGCCAAAAGAAACCCTCGGAATACAAAGTAGAAATAAGCCCCAAATGACTCAACAGCTCGGAATACACAGGCCCACAGAAAAATGAATCTGACGGAAAAACTAGCTCAAAAACAAAGTTTCAAATCCTAAGAAGTAAGGATTCAATGTGAGGAGGAGCAAACAAACACAGCAGAAAATTAACATCCGAAGAGCTTAAGCTACAGCAATGTAAAAATGCCAAAAACAAATATAATATGATTAAATGATAAACAAATAATAAATTGCAGTTAAATTAATAAAGTTAATTCATAGGAAACTGTGAGAACATGAATGATAGATTTGATGCAAAAAGTAGAACTTTCTAAAAAGCTACAAAATGTTCTAGAAGTTAAAAAGACAATGGATGAATGAAATAAAAGCATACATACTATTAAGTAATAAATATATAAAAGATCAAAATTAAATTATACAGAATGCAGAAAAATGTTCTGAAAAAAATTGTAATGAGATAAAAGGACTAACAGACATCCAGTGAAATCCAGAATTCTACATCTAGCTGTCTACTTGACATGTACATTACAATAACATTTTTTTTAACTCCACAACAGCAGTCACTACCTTCACTGATACTCCTTTTTGTCACAACTCAGGCGCATGGTTACCTATAAATAAAGGGTGGCTGGGAAATTCATTTTACCTATGTAGACTCATCCAAGGAAGATGAGGAAATAGATATGATATGTACCTGTCAATTCTCTGCCAAACAACCAAATTAGAATCATAAGTATATGGAAAATTTGAATGAAAAATGAAAAATTTTATCTACTATAAAATATATGTGTCTGTGTATTAGTCCATTTTCACATTCCTATAAAGAAATGCCTGAGACTGGGTAATTTATGAAGAAAAGAGATTTAATTGACTCACAATTCAGCATGGCTCAGAAGGCCTCGAGAAACTTGCAATCATGGCAGAAGGCAAAGGGGAAGCAATGCACCTTCTTCACAAGGCAGCAGGAATGAGAAGTGCTGAGGAAAGGGGGACAGCACCTTATAAAACCATCAGATCTCGTAACTCACTATCACAATAATGGGATGAGGGAAACCACCTCCAAAGTTCAATTACCTCTACCTGGTCTCTCCCTTGATACAAGGAAATCATGGGAATTACAATATCAAGATGAGATTTGGGTGGCGACACAAAGCCTAGCCATATCATTCTTCCCCCTGGCCCCTCCCAAATCTCATATTCTTTTGACATTTCAAAACCAATCATGCCTTTGCAACCTTCCCCCAAAGTCTTAAGTAATTCCAGCATTAACCCAAAAGTTCAAATCCAAAGTCTCATCTGAAATAAGGCAAATTCTTTCTGCCTATGAGCCTGTAAAATCAAAAGCAATTCAGTTACTTCCTAGATACAATGGGGGTACAGGTATCGGGTAAATACACCTGTTCCAAATGGAAGAAGTGGGACAAATACAAAGGGTGATGGGACTCAATGCAAGTTGAAATCCAGTAACACAGTTATTCAATCTTGTATTAGGAGTCTATAAAGGGACAGAACTAATAGAATAGATGAAAATATGAAAGGGAGTTTAATAAGGAGTGTTGATTCACATGATTACATGGTGAAGTCCCCAGATAGGCCAACTGAAAAGCCAGGAAGCTAATCCAAGTCCTAAAACCTCAAAAGTAGGGCACCTGATAGTGCAGCCTTAAGTCTGTGGCCAAAGGCCCCATAGCCCCTGGGAAACCACTGGTTTAGGTCCAAAAGTCCAAGGGCTTTTGAGAGCAGGAAGCATCCAGCATGGGAGAAAGATGGGGGCCAGAAGACTCAGCAGGTCTAGTCCTCCCATGTTCCTCTGCCCACTTTTATCCTAGCTGCTTTTAGAGAATTAGATGGTGTCCAACCAGATTGAGGGTAGGTTTGCCCCTCCCAGTCCACTGACTGAAATGTTAATCTCCTTTGGTGACACCCTCACAGACACATGCATAAACAATACTTTGCATCTTTCAATCTAATCAAGTTGACACTCAATATTAAACATCACAAATCTTAAAGCTCCTAAATAATCACCTTTGACTCTATGTCTCATATCCAGGTCATGCTGATGCAAGGAGTGAGCTCCCACAATCTTGGGCACCTCCAACCCCTGTGGCTTTGCAGCCCCCATTGCAGCTGCTTTCATGGGCTGGCATTGAATGTCTGCAACTTTTTCAAGCACATGGTTCAAGCTGTCTGTGGATCTACCATTCTAGGGTGTGGAGTACAGTGGATCTCTTCTCACAGATCCACTAGGGAGTGCTCCAGTAGGGACTCTGTTTGGGGTTCCTACCCCCCATTTTTCTTCTGCACTGCCCTGGCAGATGTTCTGCATGAGGACTCCACCCTTGCAGCAAACTTCTGCCTGGAAATCCAGGCATTTCCATACACCCTCTGAAATCTAGTTGGAGGCTCCAAAACCTCAAATCTTGACTTTTGTGCACCTACAAGCCAAACACCACGTGGAAACTGACAAGCCTTGGGGCTTGTACCCTTTGAAGCAATGGCCTGAGCTATATGCTGGCCCCTTTTAGCCACAGCTGGTATGCTGGGTGTCACATCCCAAGACTGCACAAAGCAACAAGCCTCTGGGCTTGGCCCAGGTTAACCATTTTTTCCTCCTAGGTCTCTAGACCTGTGATGGGAGGGGTTGCTGTGAAGGTCTCTGACTTGCCCTGGGGACATTTTCCTCATTGTCTTTGCAATTAACATTTGGCTCCTTGTTCTCATGCAATTTCTGCAGCAGGCTTGAATTTCTCTAGAGAAAATTGGTTTTCTATTCTATAGCATTATCAGGCTGCAAATTTTCCAAACTTTTATACTCTGCTTCCCTTTGAAACTTAAGTTCCAATTTCAGATCATCAATCTCAAGTTCAAAGTTCTAAAGATCTTTAGGGCAGGGACAAAATGCTGCCAGTCCCCTTGCTAAAGGATAGCAAAGTCATCTTTATTCCAGTTTCCAACAAGTTTTTCTTCTCCATATGAGACTACCTCAGTCTGAACTTCATGTCACTATCAGCATTTTTGTCAAAGCCATTCAACAAGACTCTAGGGAGTTCCAAACTTTCCCACATTTTCCTATCTTCTTCTAAGCCCGCCGAAGTATTCCAACCTCCACCTGTTACCCAGTTCCAATGTTGCTTCCACATTTAAAGTTATTGTTATAGCAGCAACCCACTATCTGCAGTAGCAATTTACTGTATTAATCTGTTTTCACACTGCTATAAAGAACTGCCTGAAAACTGAACAATTTATAAAGAGTTTTAGTTGAATCACAGTTAAGCATGGCTGGAGAGGCCTCCAGAAACTTACAATCATGTTGGAAGATGAAGGGGAAGCAAAGCACTTTCTTCACAAGGTGGCAGGAAGGAAGAAGGGAGAAGAGCCCCTTATAAAACCATCAGATTTCGTGAGAACTCACTCACTCTCATGAGAACAACAGGGATAAAAACACTCCCATGATTCAATTACCTTCACCTGATCTCTCCCCTGACATGGGGGCAGGGTGGGGGGAGGGGAGGATTATAGGGGTCATGGGGATTACAATTCAAGGTGAGATTTGGACCCAAAGCCTAACAATTTCAGTGGGTATGCGGGTGTGTCCCTGTACCCCCCACTATGACATAAAACTAGTGAAAAGGGGACATGCTTTCTTTTCAAGAGACCATCATATGAAAACACCAACATGAAATGAATATTTACAAACGTGACTATATACTTCACAAGGAAGCCTCAAAAAATTCCAACAAATTTCCACTTCAACAAATCCAAGAAATTATTGATAACATTTGTTGTCACCAAAGCAATTAAAGTAGAATTCAATTTTTAAAAATCAGTTTAAAGATTCTTTGGAAATTTGTATGAGTTAAATAAAATAACAATAAAAATTACAAATAAATGTCCTACATATACATTGTGTAGGATTTAGCAAGATCAGTGACTAGAGGCCGATTTAAATATATTTATTACGTAAAACATAGATTAAAAATTAATGAGTTAAATGAGAAGACATAAATAGGTCTAGATATTTATATAGATTATAAAATATTAATAAAGTTTTATTTAAACAGAGACAAAGCACAGCGTAGGTGTGTGTACACTATGGGAAGGTTAAGTTGGCACAAACACTTCGGAGAACAATCTAGTGATATCCATCAAATCTGAAGTGGTTCTTACACAGCAGTTCTATTTACTTGAAATAGAACCTGGAGCAATTTACTACATTCTTTCCAATAATTTTTATATGGCATAGTTTGTAACTGAGTATATATGTATATCCATCAATGAGGAAGTGATAAATAAACCTACAGTGGTTCCTATAACATTTAAGATGAATTAGACTTTCATTTATCAATATTCATACTTCTGTAAAATATTTTTAGTGTCAAAAGCAAGCTGCAAATTATATAGGACAAAATAAGTCATTTAAAATTTACATAAAGTAATGAAATATTGTTATGAGTACACTAATATGTAGTAAAAGACCAAAAATATACACAGAAAGAACATTCACCACTGTGCCTCTTCTTTATAGGAGAAGAGAGGGATGAAATGGAAGGTGGGCATTTAGCTATCACTGTATGTATCCTTCTTAAAAACATCTAAAGGATATGTGACAATCTGTGATGAGCCAACTGATGCCTTCATAGTGTTTGTTAGTTAGCAGAGTCCCTTGGGTGCGGGCCGTCAGCACCTGGAGGCCAGGCCAGGGCTCTGCTTCATCGAGGAGACAGCAGCAGGAAAGCTATACAAGACTATAAGCTCAGTCACAATCTTCGGGAGAAGGAAAGGCAGATGCTGCAGTCAAACCCCCACCTAAAGAAGGGGGCTGTGACCTCCATGAACCTGACTAAGCTAGAGGGTGGTGTGGTTTATAACATGGCACCTGCCACTATAAGTGCCAGCTTAGACTTCACTGTGGCACCAAATGTGCTTTTGAGCAGCAGCTGCAGGGCTGGTGCCACGCAGCTGGAGATGGGGTCACCATCGAGTTTGCTCAGAAGCGGACACAGCCCTGAGTGATACCTACTAATGACTCAGACCTCTGGTGGGAAGCTTTTAGCCAGGTCTCCAAGGACATGAACCTCACTCTGGCTGTCATGGACAGCTCTTTCCTCTGAGTGGTAGGGGTCCTGGCTCTAAGCTTCTCACCCATGAACCACACACCTGTGCTGCTGCATGACCATGACAAGTAGCTACATGAGGCTGTGTTTCTCCTGGGTTGACACATAGTCACACCTGCTGCCTGCCCTGGCCAGCATGCCCACCCTGCCTGGCAACAGCTGAGCCCTAGAACTCCCCAACCTCTGCCCCTGGAGCTTTCATTCCAACCAGTGCCAAGGACTTCTTCTTCGCCCTTCCAAATAATAAAGTTTGTGTGTGGATGGGGTGTGGGGGGAAAGAAGTTGGTCTTCTAGTTATAGCCCAGGCTCAAAATATTGAATGGCTCCATCTCCAGATATTCTGCTCTACTGGTGTGGAAGGTAACTTTTGGATCATTGTTCATTAAAAATGTTGGGTGATTCTGTCACTGCAGCAAAGGTGAAGAACCACTAAGCCCAAGTGAACAGAAATGGAGGAGGCAGGAACGGCCATGTGGGGTTCAGCCAGAGGCTACTCAGATCATGTCTAAGAGATGTCTCTCACCTTACCAACCCTGAGCTCAATGTCAGTGCATTTCCTATTCAGATTGGCATAAAGATGGTGGCTGATAACCACTCATCACCTATATGAATGAAACAATGAATGAGTATAATCAAAGTACTGAGGGCCCTATTCTATGTAATGGAGTCCAAATGAAAGGTCCAAACTTCTTTCCCAAGCAATTGTTTATATCACTTAAATGTCCCTATGTAGTGATTATTGGTTATTTCCTTTGAGTCAGAGAACCAAATGAAAGGGGAAAGAAAAAGGATAAAAAGTAAATATAATAACTGGCAAAAATAAGGCCACTAGATCAGTGTTTAAGTGTACCTGGAAACGTTGCGGGAAAAAATTATAGAGCCTGATAAGCCAGATGATATTTATTTTTACATCTTATGTATGTCTTTCTATGTGTGTTATCCTGAGAGTATCTCATATGTATCATATGCATATATAAATTAGTTCTTACAATGTAGGCTAAATGAAAATAATGTGAATTTAGACTTGTTTTCTGATAATAGCATACATTAATCATCAATTAACTCTAAGAATAAAGTTCTATAAGAGTAGGAAATACATTTTCATCTACTACATAATATATCCTTACTCAGTGTGATATTTAAAATTTCTAAAGAATTGCAAAGATGGCTATTAATTCTATAGCTAAATCACAACTATATGTAACAAATATAATTTAGCATTCATGCAGCATTTTGCATCTCTAGAGAACATACAAATATTAAGTTAAAACATTAATGGTTAGTCACCAAAATTTTAGATGGAATCACAAGTTCTTTTT